CTAGTTCGTCAAGTGTTGAAGCTATGAATTGTGACAGCGGATGTTCCGTTGCCAGTGGAGATAACATGCGACCCATGGCGGCAGGACCTTCTAAAGTGAAGTCTATGGGATGCTCTGCTTCTTCTAAAATAGTTAAGCTTCCGTCTTCCCACAACACTAGACAACAACCATTGAAGGGAAAGCAAACACTACCAGCTATCCTTATCAAGGGAGAAAACACCATGCGAAAACCGCGCATGAGAGCTTCTAGAGAAACCGCTGAACCATCGCTTGGAGGCTTGCAGGGCATGACAACACACAGGAAAGCGGCCGTACCTGTGACCGGCGAAAACAGCATCAGAACCAGTCCTGGAATCTTTTATGACTGTGACGAACTGGAGCTGATGAAGCAGATCGAGAAAGAATCTCGATGCTGCTGACTCAGACTCTGACAAACGAATAAAAACGAAAAAATACCAAAAAAAAAAATACAAAAGAGATAAAAAACAAAAACAAAATCAAAAAGTAGATCTCAATGTGGCTGAAAGCTGTTTTTACAAAAAAAAAAAAAAAAAGAATCTCCAAGAAAATAAGTATTGGACAAACTATCTCATTTTTGTTTGAAAATTTACGCGCACGAGGTTGTTATGGAGGTAGAAAGAATTTTTCTACTTTTTTGTTGTGACCGAAAACTAAAAACTCAAGAAACCAAAGCTATTCAAGGGAAATAATCATTCGACAAGCTATCTTATTTTTGTTGAAAACTTTACGTTTACACAAGGTTGTTATGGAGGCAGGAGAGGTTTTTCTACTTATTTTTATTACTACAAAATCTGAAAACAAGAAACCAAAGCTATTTAAAAGAAAATGCCCATTAATGTACAAACTATCTTATTTCTTTTGTGGAAAATTTACGTTTACACAAGGTTGTTAAAGAGGTAAGGAAGAACTTTTCTACTTTTTAATTGTTACATGTTTCGTTTTTTTCTGCACTGCTTCCTTCCATTGACGACTATCACAAAACTCTTTTGGCCTTTGGAGAGCAGAGGAGAGACTCGGAGTGAGCAGGTTTTAGCATTACCCCTCACACAATCCCCCATTGAACCCTTTCCCCGATATCCCCTAGTCCCTAATCTAAAGCCCTTTGCGACCCCCAGTCACTTCCACTGCGTTTCCAAGGGCTCTAAAAGAGTTTTGTGTCCAGTTGTAATAAGCGAAAGAACTTTGAACTAGACTGATAGGGAAGCATTTCAGAGAGTTCCTACGCCTCAGAGTCCCTCCTCTGGGACACTGAGAGATGCTATCAAATTCAGCAATAGGTCGTTTGCACTGAAGTTTTTACGTTCTGGAAAATGTTTTTTACCGACGTTTCTTTATTCCGTAACAACCTTTAGCTTTTAACTAACCTCTGCATGATTATTCTGTTAAATTTACCAAACTGTCTTGACACGGTTTTTTTGTCTAAGTTTCTTCCTCTGTAACAACCTTTTAGCTACTTCTGCAAGATAATTCTGTTCATTCATGATTATTCAGTTAAACTTACCAAACTGTATCTGGATAGTGTTTTCTGTCTAAGTTTCTTTCCTGCGTAACAACCTTTTAACTACTCCTGCAAGAAAAATCTGTTCATTCATGATTGTTCTGTTAAACTGACCAAACTATATCTCGATGTTGTTTTCTGTCTAAGTTTCTTTCCTCTGTAACAACCTTTTAACTAGTTTCTGCATGATTATTCGTTCTATTTACCGAACTGTATTGATAGCTTATTTAGTCTAAGTTTCTTTCCTCCATAACAACCTTTTAACTATCAAGACAGTTTGATAAACTGTCTTGATAGTGTTTTTTGTTCAAGTTTCTTTCCTCCGCAACAACTTTCTGACTACTTCTGCATGATAATTGTGTCTAATATATCAACCTGTCTTGATAGTTTATTTTGTCTACGTTTAGTTCTAAGTTAATATTTCTTGGTGAACAAATGAGACACTACACAGCATGGATTTTTGTTATTCAATATCAACGATATGTTGATATCATCAGAGATATTTTTTCAATAAAAGATATCGATAAAATTGAATTGTGGTCACATTCAAGAGCGGTTAGATTTGTCAATAAACTTCAATTGTGCTTGATTCGCGTAAATATGATTACAGAAACATTACTCGCTTTAGAATGACAGTGCTTACGGAGTCTGAGCACTCTGCCATGCGAAAGCGACACAGGAAGCTTGCGCGATTATCTGAATTAGAGGCGCAAATCAAATGATATGTTTACACAAAACATTTCAAAAAGGAATGCGCTGTGCAAGTTAGGTTTCATGTTGTTCGCAGCATTTCCTAATATATGTTCGTTGCTGGACTCTCAAGGAAAGGGGGAATGAAGCGGTTGGGGGGGTGTGAAGGGGTGGGGGAAGTGATGGACGAGGCTATGAATCGGAGACCAGAGTAGACAATGATTATTTAGTTTCCCAAAGGGGCGAACACAGAAAAGAAACTTATCTCAAAATTGACCCCAGTGATTGCCGGACGTCCATAGGCTACAGGATTCTGATGCTTCAACTTTCACCTTTGTAGTGTGAATTGGTAAATCTCATAAGTGGCATTTTAAGAAACATTTCTTGCCATTTCAGAACTGATAAACACTTCTCGGAAAATACCACTGTACCAATGATTGTATGTGGGGAGGGCTAAGCACTCGGGACATAATAACGGCAATTCTTTTCAATTTGGTTTTGCTACTGTGTGGGAACATCTGTGGATCTGATATTATCATAGACATGGAGAAATGTCTCGTATTTTGGAGAAATGTCTCGTGTTTTTTTTTTCCTTTTCCCGTATTTTATTACAATCCGAACTCTTATCCAGTTTCATAAATATTCACCTATAATGTTCTCTTCATGACAACTTAGGTTGTTTGTATCAGCATTTTCAGGGTCATACATAATCTAACGATCGCGTTGTATTCCCGGCTAACAAAAGACTAAACTACTTCATAGTCCGTATTTTTCCCGCCATTTCGTAGGGGGAAAGGTGAGAGTTAGAGAAATTACTTGACAGATTGGCCTGTTAAATGCCCACGTTGGTTTCATCGGTGCAAAGTGGACGATTGTGGGTTATGCTAGCGTTTGTATAGTGAAGTATAAAAGTACGCTACCGGAGAAAGCATGGCAATAGGATGTTAATTAATTAATTAATTAATTAATTAATATCATCTTGAAAGCATGTTCATGGTATTCACGCGCATGTTCTTTATACAGCCTGCCGCTGCCTCTTGTACTCGTTCATCTTCTGAGCCTGTTAATGTGAGTAAGGTCTGTGGGAAACAAAGAGAAGAGATGCCGACGTCACAGTTTGAACGCATATACCTTTACACAGGTTAAGTCTGCATTTGAGCCAAGTGGCCCATCAGGCCGGGGCTTTGTTCTGTAGCATGAAGCGACAGGGAGTATTTCTACACCACCCCCCCACCCCCGCCCGTCCCTGAATGGGACGCCAGTCCATAGCAGGGTTACTCCCAGCATTAGGATCGCGCCTGTACCCATTTATACACCTGGGTGGGGAGAGGCACTGTGAGAGTCCTAGGCCAAGGCTCGAACCAGGACCGCTCGATCCGGAGTCGAGCGCACTAATCATAAGACTACCACGCTTCCAGCACCAAAATAAGACCCTTACAGAATGGAAAAATAACCCATAAAAGAAGGGTTAATTCTAATTTCACTTAACAATACACTGTTAAGGGGACAGGTGATAGTAATGGAGAAAATTGCCAACTCATAACCGAGTACCCAACCAATCACAGACACCATACGAAATTACGTCATCATTATAAATGTTTTCGGCTCAGAGCGAGGAGGTTTTTCGTACTAGGAGGAATCCAGGCTCCTTGTGAGAAGCGTAGCAGGTCAACTTTCGCAAGAAATCGTTTTACCTTAAGCGCGTCGTGTTGATGAATCAAAAAGCAGTTGTACGGGTCACGTGACAGTCTTTCCAGTGCGCATGCGATCGCTCGTTTTACTGCCACGTCAGAAGAGCGTTTGAGGCTGTCAGCCAGAGGAACGACCGCTGATGAGAAGGACTTCACGTTCTTGTCTAATCCGCTGCACCTAAGGATTCAAGTGGTTATAATATAAGGGCCTACCTGAGGCTTATGGTCCTCCTAAGAAATGATAAAAGCTCTGGTAACGAGTTTTAGTACTTGATATGTCATGTGATAAATCGTCTCCGAAATGAGACCGTTGACAATATTTAGTGCGCATGTCAAGTTTTTTCTGTAAAAGTGGTGCTCTGTGTGGACTCAAATTGTGCGTGACGCCAAGTTTGCATTTCATACGGGGCGTGTTTAAAACACAAAATGACGAAATGGCACTACGGTTAGCCTAAATAGCGCTCACGTTAGCCTAAACATCACTAGCTCGACAGTGGTTCATCATCGTTCCCTTCTCTGATTGTGGAGGATGGGGCCATCAATCCGTCTCCTCCAAGCAACTCGGTGTTTTACCGCCACCTCTGCCTCCCTCCATGTCTTAAATCTGAGATGTTCCCTCTCTCTGCTGATCGTTCTTCACCACGTCTCTCTTGGCAGTCCTCTTCGGCGTTTTCCTTTGGGTGCCCATGTTAGTGCTACCTTGGGATTTTGGTTTGAAGACATTCTCAGCCCATGACGCAGCCATTTTCATCTCCTAGCTCTTACATGTTCACCGATTGTCCACGCGTCTGATCTTTCTCTAACCTCTTCATTACTGCCGGGCCTTCATCGGCCAGTAAAAGTTTCAAAATTTTCCACAAGCATTTGTGCTAGAAAACGTCTAGCTTGGATTCGTCCTCTTATTCGACAGTGGTTAGCTCTCAGAAATTGTAAGGGTTACCCTTACAGACAGCCGTATACCGCATTGTGACTCTCACCCATCCTGCCATTTCGTCATTTCGTGTTTTAAACCCGTCCGTTCATTCGAACAACGGCGGCGAAAATCGCTCTTTGCCACTAAACTTTAACCTAACTTTAACTGAAATAGGAATAAAATTCTTTGCTTACGTTGCAATTGCTTCAGCCACCCATCGCTTTAACTCTTCATCTTCCTAAAGAAAAAAAATAGTCAGTGACAAAATTTTGAATTTATAGGACGGCCAATCAATAAAAATAATCGGCTATAAAACATAATATATTGAGTTTGTCGTGTTCACTACTTTGAAGCTACTGTATTCTTACATAATTTACTCTTAATAGTTCATGTTGTGGTGTTGACAGTGGTCGAAGTTGTAATGATCAACAAAAATTGATTGATATTTTTACTTACTGTGTTCACAAGTTGTACAATAAGCGGAACCACTTCATAATCTGTGAGAATGGAAAGATTTTCTCTGTCTTTACCAATGTTGATTATTGCTCTGTTTACGCTAATCAGCACCTGATGAAGAGACACAAAATTGGTTTACAACAATACAAGCTTCTTTTTCATGTGTCACAGACAACAAAAACTATATCTGAATACACAGCGCCGCATTGCAGTCGTTCTGGCCATCCGATCTCTAACACAAGCAAGACCATAGATGATAGACGAACTGGTTTTTTTTCTCAACGTTTTTCCTCTGAGAGCAAAAGTATTAGTTCAATTTTTCTTTAGACGGCTTTTGATTCCTTTACACTCAGTACTATCTAGTTTTCAAGCAATCTCGCGCAGAAAAAACAAAACAAAAAACAAATTAATCGTGAATTGGTTTAACGCAACTAATGATCACCTGCTTGTCATCCGACCGTAGGAGATTGGTAATGAGCTGTAGACCTCCGACAAATGAGCGCACCATGTCAGCTGACTCCTGAAGGACAAATAAACTTATATTGAAGGGGTAGGGTGGAGTGGGGGGGAGGGGGTCAGGGCATAAAAATCTTTGTTTAAAATCATAGCTTAAATATAACTTGCAATGTTAGAATGTGACTACACTTCTCACCACAACAAAGGTGGGTTTTCATGAAATCTTTATGAAAAAGGTTAATTTAGCCTTTATCAGTAAATTACAGTATGTAATGCTTTTCCTCGCTTTGATTGTCTCACTAAAGAGGCTAGCGAAAAAGAATTACAAAACGACCAACTCAGTTTCTCTCACCTCTTCATCCACCACACATGCACTGATGGCATCTGCAGCGCCTGCTACAACCTGGAGATTAACAATGCTGTGTTTTAATACAGTTGACCTCCACTAACTGCCACCTTTCTACAACGGCCACTTTTTTTGGTCGCGACGGACAGTCCATAGATTCACTCTTATTTTAAACTCTCTATAACGGCAACTTTTCCCAAGTTGGCTGATGCGGAGAGGTTCCGCTGTACACACTATGTTAGTAAACGTTGATGGAATTTGTCTTAAAGAGGCACAGGCACGCTAAAAAAGCCCCTAATTTCAAAAGAGTTATTTATCCCTAATTACCCGCTGAAACAAATGCATTTTTCATTTCGTAGATGAATTACTGGTTACCTAGTAACCATTATAATAATAAGTCTAATAACACTGACCTTTGGATCAGGAAACTTCAACAAAGACCAGAGCAACCTTAATCCGTCTGTATGAAGAATAGTGCTACAAGGAGAGATTGACATGTGTGATAAGGAAGGCGAAAAGGCAAAATCACTTCAGTTTGGTACACAATTAACAGTTTCAACTTTGACATCGTACATGGTATTTTAAATGGCGCAGAGCTAAACTAATATTATTTAAGTCGGACAATTGAAAAGGGATTTTTTTAAAAAAATGATCAAGGAAAAAGAAGCACATTTTTGTCACGGTAGTTTTTTGAAGTGCAAAATCACATTTCGAAGGAAATCTAGAAATACTGGTTAAGAGGAAGAGGAAATACTGAATTTTTCAAAATGCCGTGCCATGACGTAACACCGTTGGCAAGATTGCTTATAACGCATTCCAAGAAGATATTGGTACCAACCCCCTGCACGAGCCCTCCTTGGCACAGACCGCGAGGAGCCTAGTCGCGTTGACAAGCACAGCACTTTCCGTGATGCTCAGCGCGCGCACTACAATAGGAATCACTCTGTCATCCTTAAGAGTCAAAAGGGTTCTTTTACTGTAAGCAAACTCGTGAATAGCACCAAGAGTATTGGCTAGAACCTGGAAAGAAACAATAAGATCAGCCTCGCTTGATCAAGCAACTCAAAGTAGTCTGTCAGTGACTCTGCTCTCAAATGTTGTACTGTCACAAAAAAAAAATAAAAATAAAAATAAAAAACACACTGGAAATTTAAAACATTTGAGAAATGTGGAAGACACTAGCCTGCACTAGTACTTGCCCTTTTTTAAGCATTCTCCTTTTCTGAAATTACCGTCCTTTTTTACGTCAGCATGGTCAAGGTTTGTGTATTTGCCAAGTAATAAATGTTAGCGAACATCATGTGTGATATATACCTCGTTTGACTGTTCTGGGTTCTTCAATAGTAAGATCAAAGCTTTAACTGCACCAAACTGCTCAAGCCTGAGACGCAAAAAAAATAAATCCATCTTTAAAAAGGAGTTATCTATATCGGCAACGGATCGAACACGAAGATAAGCTTACTAAGATATAACATATACATTAGGGTATCAGAGACGCTTGATACTGGGTCTTGCTGCTGTCGAGTAAACAATTTTAGTTTAATTTTATAAGTTCAGATGCCCTGTGAAACGTAAAACTGCTTTCTCTACATTCTAACCTTGGAATATGGAGGCGCGGTGAACTCATGGTTAGGGTGCTAGACCGGTTTCGAGCCCTAACCGGGATCATTGCGTTGTATTCTTGGGCAGGACACTAACCCTCACACTGCCTCTCTCCACCCATGTGTATAAATGGGTACCGGCGAATTTAATGCTGGGGGTAGCCCTGCAATGGACAAGCACCCCATCCAGGGGGAGTAGAAATGCTCCTAGTCGCTTCATGCTACAGACACCACTACAATCTCCGGCAGTGTGGGCCTTGGCCTGATGTAGACTTTACCTACCTTCTTACGTTGTTTTTGTTTAAGGCGCATTTCCATAAAGCACCAACTGTGGCCGCTAGGAGTTGGTTGTCCTCTGAGGACCTGGACGTCAGCATTTGAACAAGTAGTTCCAGGCCACCGAAGCGGAAAATCAATTCACGTGTAGAGTCATCCTCAGCACACTGTATGGCGGGAAAATAACAAGAAAATCAAGTTACTAACTAGTTTGTCAGATTTATGATGGGAGTAGTAAGGAGACGAGAACAGAATAACTGAAACAACGCAAGGCAACAAGTTAAACTATAGTCATAGTGACGACTGAAATAGTTGATGATCTCTTCAGTTTTTCCCAGCCGTTGTCTTTCCATAGCATATCGAGTTGAAGTCAAAAATTTAGGTTACGTAAGTTTCTCAATCCCTTCTCTAAGTCGTAATTTCGTTCATATTGAGAAAGGGTGGCTGAGTTTCAACTACCTTTCAGTCGATGGTTATAAGATTAAGATTTATTAAGAGAATCATAATCGTAGGACAAACCTTGAACAGAGCATTCGCACACTGTGTCTTGAGGGCCACATCTCCTCTCTTCAGGTGCTTGACAATTCCCTCCACCATCCCCTCCCTTCGGATATCCTCACGAAACGCGGGCTGTGAAATATAACATAGGAGCTAATGCTTAAATGCTCTATCGTGAAGATTACTGCTAAAGGGTCAGTATCGTGAAAAGCACTGTAGAGAAACTTTGTACTTCAAGTCCTGCGATCTTTCTATTATTGACCATGTTTTCAATTAAAAAAAGTTTATATTTTCCCTGATACAATAGTCAACGAGTGTACTGCTACCATCTGAGTCTTCATACCTCGCTCGCGCATTCCTGAATAATTCCCATGGCGGGTAATATGACGTCATCCCTTCCCCTGACCAATAAGGAAGCGAGTATTGGCACAGCACCAGCCGCGCGTATGGCCTGGATGTTCTTTTGGTTCTTACTGCAACTCCATAATGCCTTGCAAGCATTGCAAGTAAGCTGGAAGTCTTCTTCATCTTTGGGTGGAGGTCTGCCGCGTCTTTTGTTCTCGGGTTGAATAATGTTTACCTGAAAGAAGTATAAGCTACAGTTTAGTTCCGTTAATAATGAGCTCTGCCAGCTGTCTCCATAAAGCGCAGAAAAACATCAGAACTCGATCGAAAACTGATTAATAGCAAGTTGTATTCGTGAGACAAACATGACCGACGACATTACTACCAAAGTTGTTGAGAAATACCGGAAGTATGAACAG